GGTATCATCTATGAAGACATTTGTGACAAATTAAAATAATAAGGATAATAATAATAATGTAAGCTTCTTCCAGAAATCTGTGGAAATACTGGAGACAGAATTGGGATCACATTTTGTGGGACAGGAAAAAGCCGTATTACTCATTCACACACAGGATGGCCTCAGATACTGGACAGCTTGCAGGCTTCTCTGTTATATCAGTGTTGTTTTATTATGAGATCTCCAAATATGAATCTCTCAATCTATTTCTTCCTTCTCCATCTCTAGACTATTAGCTGGCTTCCCTTTTCATGAGAATTTTGACTGACCTTTTCAGTCATATGCTCCTCTCTGTTCAAAATCTAATTTTTCATTAAATGTTGCATTTAGGGAAGCATCTTGATCTTTGATCATTTTCAGTTACCTCAAAACTTCTTAGAATTAAACAGGTTAATAGCCTAGGAGTAGAAAATGAAAGCTGAGAGTAAAGCAAATAATTTAATATTATCAGCTATCCTTAGTGTTTCAGATTTTTTTAACTAGCTTTCTTTCCTAGAATAACAACCAGCTGAGGCAATGTCCACCAGGAAGGAGAAAACATAGTTTATTAAAAAGAAGAAGTTTAAAGGAGAGAGAGGTAGAAAGCACAATGAGACAGGAGTTAAAAGTGGATCGGAATAAACCTTTATAGAAACCTTCATCTAATCAACTTTCTGAAATTCCATTCACTTTTTCTCTGTTTATTTCTTAATTAACTCAGAACAAATGACTTTATTAAAATAGTTTTGGCAAGTTTAAATTGGTAAAAATAAACCACACTTTCATGACCCCATATTTTCAATTTCAGCAATAAATTACTTAGCTGACTTTCAAGCTTAAATGTCCTACGGAAAGCCTTTTCTAACTCCGTACACTGAAGTATGAATGTGAAAGCTTATTATTTTGAAAAATCAATTAAATGTTTGACAGCACCATAACAGTCATCACAGACAGTGCTATTGCCTGAGAAATCGCAAGAAGGCTCAGGATGATTGAATACCTCAGAGGACATGGGGATGATGTACCCTTGTACAAAATGGAATTTTTAAAGGAAATCGCCAAGTGCATGTCTCTAGATATAATACTGTCTTTGAAGTGTGCAGTGGCTACATAAACCTTTGAAAAAACATTGATACTTAGTAATAAAAGCCTCCTCCTTCCTGTGGGGATTAAGGTTGACATATCTTACACTTAATTCTACTTTATGAGCAAGGACATGTTATATTTCCACAATTGTGATATGAAAGAAATTTGGAGGAATTATTCTAACTTTGGGTACATGTACTGACTCAAAGTCCACCCTCATAATCAAAGCATATACTTCAATTTTTCCAAACCCCATAATGTTATAAAAAAATATATATATACATATATTCAGTTACCTCAAAATTTGAGAACAAAATCCTCTCCAGTTCTTCACAAGTAATTGTCCAGCTCAAAGAAAGGCAAAGACTCTTTTCAAACTTTTTCAGTCAAGTGATAAAATGATTTACAACTGAAGACTTTTTATGTTTATTTTATAGGTAAACAAGGTAATTCTCATAGTAAAACAGATGCCGTCAAAGAAAGAGACAACACAAACAAACCAAGCTCAAAACAATAACAAAACAGGTAGTTGGATGAAACCTAAGGAAATTGAAAATGAGGAAAGAATAACCAATATTGAAGCCTTTAGTTAATATGTGTATATATGTTAATTTAAATAAATATTATATCTAGAGAGGAGCATCATGGGTCTTTAATTTTTCTTCATACTCCCTCATTTCCAATTTTTCAATAAGACTGTATTCATTTTTAATCAGAAAAAATGTTAAAAGAAAATCAATCTTATTTATTAACAATAAAATGAGCAAATGTTGGATTTTGCTAAAATTCTGTACTACTTTAGAAAAGTAAACTAATCTCTTTATTCTGTAGTTTTCCTCTTTACACATAAAACTATTAAAATTAAATATTAAAAATGAAAGGAAAACTGGTTGTTGACATTTGGCTATCTTTAAAAGAGGAAATTTAGGCAGAAGTATAACCACCCCTCCCTGTCTCCACTTGCAGAAAACCGCACACAGCTCTATGTTGCGGCAGGTTAAATGAATGAGAGAACAGACATTGGTTGATGGCCTCAGTATATAGATTAGAACAGAAGGTGAAGCCAAGTTTTCATTTGAAACAGGCATCTTTTCCAAAATATCACTTGTTAGTTCATTTGTGACACTCTTTACTGATTATAGGTTGGGTCATTTCATGTACTGTATTTTTTTATTGTGTATTAAATAAACAATAGATTCTTTGTAAAACAGTTTGCATTTTTAAATGAAGGAAAAGTATTTTATATGGCATACATATTAATCAATGCTTGATGCACATTTTAGAATTTATTCAGTGAAATCTCCGTAGTAATAGTGAACCTCACCCCTAGGAAAAGAGAGGAAATCCAGATTCTATGTTCATTAAATATTTAGTTACTAGCTTGGGTAGATGAAATTTTCTTTGTAACTTTTTTTTCTAAATGACATAAGAAGAGATTTTTGTAAAGTCAGTTTGTGTGGAAACTAAGGGTGATAAAAGATAAAAGCTGTCCCTGAACCCAACGACTGGTAAAGTATATAAGCCAAGGTTCAACCTCAGGTCCTTCGTCTTTACTCTGCATTCCCTTTTCCCTGTGTCACACTCCCTCAGGCACTAGGAGAGCTGAGGTCAAACACGGCCCCAGTGCAGGCATAACTGATTAATAAAACAGAAAATCTGATATAAGGAATTACCAGATAGAATAACACTGGAAATCTGATACAGGAAAATTATACAGAAGCCCGGTGATATTAAAAATGAGTTAAACTCACTTAGGCCTCAAGAACACAGGTTGAGTTGAAAGTGACCTACCACGTGATTCAGCAATTTCACTAAACCCAAAAGAAAGGATATCTGTATCTCAAAAAGCTATCTGCACTCCCACATTCATAGCACCATTATTCACAACAGCCAAGATATAGAAACAACCTAAGTCTCCATGAACTGATAAATAGGTAAAGCAGACATGGTACAATGGAATATTATTCAGTCTTCTAGAAAAGAAGGAAATGGTGCCATTTGCAACAACTTAGATGAAACTTGAGGACATTATACCAAGTGAAATAAGCCAGAGAAAGACAAATGCTGTATGATTTTACCTATCTGTGGAATCTTAAAAAAAATTCAAACTCAAAGAAACAGAGTAGAACGGTGGTTTCCAGAGGCTGGAGTGAGGGAGACATAGGGAAATGTTGGCCAAAGAGTACAGTTTCCAGTTATAAAATAAATAAGTTCTAGGGATCCAACATATAATACAGTAACTATGGTTAATAACACTGTATTATATATTTGAACTTTGCTAAGAGAGCAGATCTTAAGTTTTGTTACCACAAAAATGGCAACTATATGAGGTGATGGATGCGTTAATTTCTCTGACTGTCTTAACCATTTCATAATGTATACATAAGTCATCATGTCGTACACATGTAATTTTGTCAATTATACTTCAATAAAGCTGGAAAAAAGCCCTTAAATTAATCTGCATCACAGAATATTTAAAATAAAAAAATGAGTGTAAAGGAATGACATCAGTGAAAATGACAGCTCCAAAAATAATCTCGTCCCTAAAAACAATGACAACACTGGCAAAAATAAGAAAAATCATCTTTTTAGAACTCTGGGACCAAACAGCTGCAGCAATCCAGGGAGCATTTAGTCTGGAAGAACACTGAAATTTGGTAAGAATAGAGAGAGACCTCAGTCATGTTTCAACTTGCTCTATTCCTGTCTCACACCCCAAATCCCCACAACAACCTCAAATCCAACCACCCACAATCACAATGAAAACCAACAACCTGGTGGTCAGCCACAGGAAAGCATGGGGCTGGAACTCTTTGAGAGCCCAGCTCCCAGAGAACTGTCATTATTGACCTGTCTCTAGTTCTCTGGGAGAGTCAACATGAGAGATCTTCTTCAGATGGCCTGACTCAGAGCTTTCCCAGGGCAAACAGCCTTTTCCACAAAAGCAACTGTTGAAAATAATCAGAGGCAATAACTGAGCATCTCTGCAAACTGAGTAGTAAATAACAACTGGAGAAAACACAGGCTCAAAAAGGAATACCTAAGAGGAAAAGCTGGGTGAGGTGTCCATAGGGAGACCAGAAAATCTGAGAATGTGGAAGGCTATGCCAGGTCGTAAACTGCCCAGCAATTTACATAGGCAATCCTACCCACCAAACCAACGGTATGTTCAGATATTCTGGTACAGTGGAGCCTCACTCAACAGGTTGTTCTTGTGCATGTTATTTCAATTATCCAGCTGATTTTCCTGCATCCATTTCATCAACCTCTGAAGTGTAAGTATCTTCTACACTGTTTCCATTATGTCCTGATAACTCATTCCTTTTCTGAAATTATTTTATCTATAGGCTAAAGTGCCAACTTCTAAACATGGCATATGAGCCCATTCACAATTTAGGCCAAACGTTTTGGCTTTCTAGCATCCCCTCTGATGCTCCCTCCCAAGCAACATCCTCTGTTCTAGCCACACTGAACTACTCGGTAATATTCTGACAGTTAGATCATACTGTTGCCCATCCCCTTCCCTTTTCTTAGGATGTATTATTTGTTAGTGATTCTGGCCAAGCTAAAATTGTTTCACAGGAGGGAATCACCTTACTATTGAGAAGAGACAACTGACTCCAATACAATGGCCTGGTGTATTGATAAGAGCACTTAATCATAACTAACTAAACATTCATTAAGATTCATTTACGTTCACTCTGATAGTTATAATCTACTGCCCACATGCTTGGAAAGACAAACATTATAAATGAATGGATACAGGATGGATGCTGTTGTTTTTACTGACTATTCATTGAAGATAGGTTATTACTTTACTTTTATGTTATTTGCAAGTTTCATAAGAGAATCAGCCAGTCTTTACCTTTAAATAATGCATGTTGACTTACCTTGTGCTGTTAGACCTGGGGATGGCCTCATTCTCCCATCAAGCCCGAGCTGGTTGCAGCATTGGAGTTCTCTTTCATTTTTCATGAAGTGTATTTGGTTTGCCACACATGCATATGAACTGCCAACAGTTTCTGTGTGGCTGTTGTCCTTCAGTAACTAATATGAGGTCATTACTTCAGCAGACTTCAGCCTTTTGAAACACAACATAGACAAGTTTGCTGATATTGATCATTCAATGATACTGATTAATCTAACCTATACTTTACAGGTGCCACAACTATAATAAATAACATTGACATTTCAACCAAACTTGCCCTTTTTCCCACCACAAGCTTAGCATCAAACACAGAATTAATTACCCTTCATTTGTGTGCCAAAGCATTTTATAAATGCCATCATTAGATCATACCTCATTATATGTTAAAGTTAATTATTCATGTCTCTATTTAAAGCTTGACTGCTTAGAGTAAATATAAAGTCCATATTTTCAGCACCTCACATAGTTTCTGATATGCAATAAATAAAAGAATGTTTCTTTATGAAATTAAATCTCATTTCATAAATATGGCTGAAAATCCATGATATAGTTCTTGACCAGAGAAAAACTCATCAACAGTCATTGAATTCATCACCTTCCCACATTCATCTTAAAAAAAACATTCCAGTTCCACTTAAGAATATCTTTGATGAAGAAAATGTTATTCATATTATGAAATATCAACCCTTGAGTACATTTTTATTATTCTATATGACAAAATAGGAAGCATACATACAGCATTCCTGTACCTTAATGAAGTATGATGGTTAGCTCAAGGAACTGCACATGTGCAACTGTTATATTATGAGCTAAGCTAACCACTTATTCATGGAATTTCATATTTATTTGAAGGAATGACAGAGAAACTACAGTTACTAATACCTGGATACTTAACTTAGCAAGGTTTTTTTCCCAAAAATGAACAAAGTGAGTCTTGCAAAGAAAACAACTGACTGATTTTTTGCCAAAGATAAAATCTGAGCTTTCAAGCAAAGCTTAGAATTTTGGGAAACTGATGTGCCACCATGGACTTGACAGCTTTTTGACTGATTTCTAGATTGGTGGTAATGTTAATGTGATTTTTTCTGCTATTGTCTAATGAAATATGTCAACATTTGGAAGATAATGCAAAACTCAGTAAACCAGTATTTTTCAAATGACCAATGCACAATATTACAAAAAGTAGCATGACTACAAGGTCCTTTAAGTTAAGAGACCCTTTGAGTTGATAATAACGTACAATCACAGATCTAAAATGTTCAGGAAAGGCTGTTAAACCGTTTTCCAACTACTTCTCTGGGTGAGTCTGAATATTCATTATCTGCATCAACTAAAACAACTTCGTGCGACAGACTGAACGCAGAAACAGATCAAAGAATCTGTTGCCTCCTTAAGCCAGAGATGGTTTTAAATTGTGTAAAGGTTAAAAATGGTGTCATTCTTCTATTTTTTTGTTTCTTTTGGAAATCAGTTACTTTTCATAAAAATATATGTATGTTAATATGTTGTAAATTTATTGTATTTAAATGAACATTTTTTAAATAGCTCAATTTCAATTTCTAATACACCAAATATCAATTGCCTCTCTGATCCTCATAAACAAAAGTACTTGGCATCCTCAGTAACTTTTAAGAGTGGAGAAGGCACCCCGTCCAAAAAGGTGAAGACCTTCTCCAACACTATGCCCTACTCTGTTACTCTGCTTCCATCTGTGCTGAGATTTTTGCCAGTTTCTCAACACATGCAGTGGTGTCCTTGTTTAACCCAGATCAGGACTGAATCCAATTCTGTTTAAGAAGGAGAGGGAGTTCAATTCTCCTTCTGTGTGTTTGTATGTGTATATACGTGCATAACAAAATGAGCATAAACTCTAGGCATCCAGAAAATTCACGTAGGATGAACAACTCAGTCCACTGATGTATTACTTCATTAATTTTTAAAAATTCAGTGAAGTTTAATTTTGATTTCTGATAGGCAGCAAAATCTTAGACTTATTTATTTTAAACGTAGAAAAAAACTGAATCAATATATGCATTCTTTTTGATTCATGTTTTAATTACAGACTTCAAAAATTGGATATTTATGTTTTTACTTAATTTCCTTATTATATATATTTCACAAGGGGAAAGACAAGTTTTTAGTTTTTTTAACTAAAATATACATTCTAGAATTATAAAACCTCAGAAAAGTCAGTTCAGCACATGTTTCTTAATATCTTTAATAACAATAAGTTGATTAGATATCTAAAGTATAATTTAGGAATCATACTGACAATCTTTAACCAAATAGTATGTAACTTTATAATCTCAAGGTCAAACTGAAAATCACCTTATATATGTTTTAACATAAATAGAATGCAATAATTCATATTTATCATGTTAGCACTTAAGTTTAATGATTAAAATTAATGGTAGTTTCCTTTGTTGAGTGTTTTATGTGAAGTATATCAATGCATTAAGTCATTTAGTAAATATCTGTTGTAGTATCTTCTATGTGCCAACAATATGGTAATAACAAGTCAGAGAAATTACCTTTAGTGAAAGAGGCAGATAAATATATGTTATTATAATTCAGGTACAGAAGGAAAGTAAATAGGACAAAGGGAGAAAGTAAGAGAGAAGAAAAATAGGTTCTCTTTCCATTAAGTGCTCAATGACAAGGACCTGAATGAAATAAGGGAAAGAACTATGAAAAGAACCGGAGGAGGGGGATAGGGGCCAAGCATAAGGAACCACATATACAAATGTTCCAAGAGAGAACAAGCTTTGTTTCACTGTGGGTCTCTCACATTCAATATCTTGACTCTTTGAAGCAGGTACTATTATTATTCCTTTTCAACAGATGAGGAAAGTGAGGATCCAAGAGGCTAAATTATTCACGAAAATTTCATGGCTAGAAAATATTAAAACCCAGATTTGCACACAAGTAATCTGATTCCTGAATGTGAGTTCTCAACCATTAAACTAGAGTCTCTTTCAACAACTTAGGCAACTTACATCAATCTATAATTCTAGTAGTGGGCCTATGATCTACAGTCCTTCATATTAAACTACAAAAAGCTACAGAAAAAAATCATAAAAAATTATCTATTTCTTATGATCTGCAAGTTCTTAAAATTTGGAAACCAGATTTGAATGAAGATTATTTTTAAACCAATTAGTATAAAATATGCAAATCATGTGTAAGATATCTTTGCACTGTTCTGTTAAAAACAAACCAACAGACTAATTCGCAGACTTCCAGCTATTACTTTAAAGAAGTGATCAACTGAGGAGTTTTCATTAAGCCAGAGTATGAATCTCAGAATACAAATTGGGGTTCACACTATATGCAGACAGTAAGTGGTTTCCTGCAACAAATTTTAGACAAATTCAGGAAGCGAGGCAACAAAGCATATCAGCATGTCCCACAAGGAGAGCAGTAAGAAAGCAATTATTTCAGAATCTATGATTTGCTCACACCCAGACATGCCATGCGCATCTTTTCCACCCACATCCACACCCCTACTCTGCCTGTATACTTCTATCTACCTCTGTCTTTTCTGTCTCTCAAGTTTCTTGTTGTTTTCCCTGTTTAGCATTCTATTGACCCCTTGTGGGTAAAATTGCAATATTTCCAGAATCTCTCACCTGGCTTTAGTGCATCTGCATATCATAGGTGTTTCCAAGGGGTGGAGAGCTGTAGTCATCTACATATCAATAGGTAATTAAAAGGGTGTGTGAGGGTTTATCTGGACTGGAGAGGCTGGGTGGAGCTTGCTCTTCTCCAGTCTGATCAAGAGAGAGACAGGACAACTCCCTGTAAGAAATCAATGGGTTTCTTACCTTTATTACTCCCTTTGACTGATTTCTATTTTAGAGGTATTTTGCCCTGGGATTTCTCCCCAAGAATTAGACCCCTCCTTTCTTCTCTTTCTGCCTTTCACTTTTTCCCCATTTCTCTTTTCTTACGTACCTCATGCAACATTCTCACTTTGCTTAAAACTCAGGACAGACACAAAGCCCAAAATAATTAATGTATCTTTGGGGGAGTGTGGGTATCTGTGATTATGTGCATGAGAATTTGTGACCAAAAAATCTGAAATTAATAAATCCACTGAAAACTTAGAACTTTTGGTCTATTAGTGTGTTCCTATAAGGCTTTCTTATTGAGCTCTTATATTTATAAATATTTGTCATATTTGACAAAGGGGGTAGTTTATAGCAGATCATAATCATTGAATAAGAGATAGATGATAAACACTTCAATTAATCAATTCAATACACTTGTGTCAAGTCCCTAATTTAAATCCTCCAAGGGTAATCGTAAGCTAATAAAATAGGAATTGTCTAAAGGAACTGAAGTATGTGCTATAATCTGACAAATCAAAAACTCCAGAGACTGGGAGGTCTCTGAAACAAAAGGGGTTATTGAGACTTCATTGATGCTGCCAGATAAAGACTGAGTCCTGGGACAGGAAATTTCTGCTTCACCAGTAGCAAGGCTGGTGAACAGAAACAACTTGTGTGCCAAATTCAAGAAAGAGGACACATTTAAGAAGGGGTCTCAAGGAAAGAAGTTGATTAAATTCACCTTGGGTACAGATACGGAAGGTACATTCCATGCATGAAGCGTGGAAAGGGTGGGGTTAGGTGATTAGTCCAGAGAGGAGCTCGTGAACTGGTTGTCGGAGATGGTCAGGCAGTCGGTCACGCACAAGGAGGACACAGTGGTCCTGGGGACCTTCTAGATGCTTGTTGGAAGGACTATCCAGGAATGCGGATTTTCTGGTTAGCTGCAAGCTGCAGCTACTGCTTAATGACCTTCCCTTGTCTCTCCCCCTGTTTCTTTGGCCCTTACATCACTTAATTTAGGACTGCAGAATTTTTGCATTGTCAGATCTACAATCTAAAATTAAGTAAGACAGGCCAACACCTTTAATTTGCAAAACTAACTGGTAAGGAAAGGCAAGCATGAGGAAGTTATCCCAAGACTAGACAAGGCTTCATGTCTAGATAGTATCTACAGAATTTTGTCTCTGATCCCTCTCTCTTTAGTTTTCTTTAACAAAAGCTTCCTAAATTTTAACAGAAAAGTTTATTGATGATCTCCAGATGCAGAATTATCTTCCTTAAAAAGAAGGTTAACCAGATAGGTCAATGTCTCAAATCCAG